AAAGCAATTCCATTTAAAAAAATGATCATGACCTTCAAATAACCTTGAAAATCGAGTTCAAGGTCAAAGTCAATGATACCATTGCGTGTCCCCCTTTGCCCCCTGCAACTTTTGTCTGAAGTATTTTTTTGTATTATGCCTCTATTTCGAGATATTTCCCATTATAGACTCATTTGGTCCACCCTTTATAATTGTTGTGTTCTTAAAGTATAGAATTTTGGTTTTTAAAGTAGAGGATTTGTGTTTTAAAACAGAGAATTTGTATTTTTGAAGCGGAGAATTTGTATAACTAAAGCAGAGATCAGGGTATTCGCCTCTCAAAACAATTATCTTTTAAGTAATGGTAAAGCGTTACCGTTACCGTTACTGTTACTTGAAAAGTAACGATTTGTTACTTTTTCATTACTTTTTTTTATAATGCTAAAGTAAGTTATTAGATTTTAAAATTACATTAGCTGATAATTAATTTAATATTAAATGTGAAATAAATATATATATATATTCAAACTTGAAACTTTCTACTAACTAGTTTGTATATATAGAGCAAGTTTTTCTCTATATTAAACTTATCTACAATTTTATTAATTCTTTATTTTACTTAATATTGTTATTTTAATGTACTCATTTTTAAAAGAATTTAAATTAAACAGATAATAGATTAAACATTGTTTTTAATGTACCCTGGTGAAAATAAATCGGTGAAAACTTTATCTCAATAAATCTATTTCAGTATAATTCATAATGAAATGAGTCAATTGATAGAGATTTCAGCGATTTTCAGCGATTCATTTCCACCAGGGTTGCTATTATGTGTATTTCAATATTTATTGCCCGTATCAAAAATTTACAGTATATATATGTAATGTGAATTATATTAATATTTTCAATGTTGGCAGTGTCTATTAGAACAAAGTATAAGATATTAAGTACAAAATATTTTTTAAGAAATTAAGAATAAATTATAAAATAAGAAAATAATAGGAAACTAAAGTAACGGTAAAAGTAATGGCTAAATTCCTTACCGTTACTGTAAAAATGTAACGACATTATCGTTACCGTTACAGATAGAAAAAAGTAACGATTGTTACTGAAAAAAGTAACGAAAACGGCGTTATAAGTAACGCGTTACTTCTCAACCCTGCATATATTATTCATCTAACTGTATCATTAAGAAGATATGTCTCAGCGTAGGATTTGAGAAATAAATTTTTGATCTAAAACTTTTCTTATTACTTTTCTTTCTTTTATGATATTTTAGCGTATCTACTGATATCTTAGCGTACTTACTGATATTTTAACGTATCTACTGATATTTTAGCTTTACGCCTAAGAATTCTTATATCCCCTGATAGAAAAAATTTCATGTATTTTTTAAGCAGTTACTAAAATTATACCAACTTTTAGTAACTGAGAAGGAAAACTACTTAGGATTCCAATCAGGATGTAACGCCTTGTTTGCAATTACTGCATACAAAAGTTGCGTAAAAATCTGAATCCATTTATTCTGAATAGAAACACAACAAATAATGAGAGAGAGAGAGAATATTAAATTGATTAATAAGCAAACCAACTGCTCATGAAATGGACAGAATAAAACTATCAAGTTCTTGTCCATTTCCTACTCATTGTCAGTATTGGCACAATTAATGAGAATACAGTAATATTAAATAGTAACTGGATAGGATTTAGGAAAATTGCTTACATTTCTACCAGGGCCTAAGAATTTTCTTTTTTTATTAAACTTGCTCCTCTTTTATAAGATTCTATCGGATACACGACTTCTTTTGGCCATAGCAGTTAAGTATAGCTCGTTGGTATCAATTTGACATGTTTCCCGCGATGGAAACGGCGGCTAATTCGCCAGAACGGAAACGGTCTTTTACCTTAGCCACGGCCGAAAAAGGACCCGACCGCTCGCTCTCAGACGCACGTCTTGTGTGTTGCAGGGATTGGAACGCGACGGGCAACGTACGCGTGCAGGAATCCTGGCCGACGTGAACGACTCTCGCCGCGACAATGTCGAACCATTCCACCACCGAAGGATCAGGCTCCTTGATTGTTTCGCGCGCTACGGTGAGTCTTCCTTCAATCTTGAGAAGATTAGATCAAGCGAAAGAGAATCGAGCAAGGCGTGAAACTTACTAGACACTCGAGATTGATTCTGCTAGCGCGCGAAAGGTGTTCCTACTAGGTGTTCTTCGCGAGGTTCACGCGAGATTGGGAACGCGTTCTACGAGAAATTTGAATTCGATTTGTATTAATAACGTCGTCTTACGTATTTGTAATTGTCTCGATTTTCTTTCTGTGCTTACACGAAAAGAACGTTTTATTAAAATATCTAAAAATTTAACTAAATACAGATCTGAAAATAAATCAATTTGATGTCCTACATAATATAATTATTTTGATAGTCCAACAAAATCATTTTCTGATCTGTATCTAGCTAAATTTTTAGATACTTCAGCAAAACTGTTCTTTCGTATGTCATAGACCAGACCACTAGAAGGGGAGACAAAAAGATATTAATTTGATTTTATTTAAATTATTTGTTGTAAAAGCTCAGCTCTGAAATACAAAAATTTACATAAATGTTGCATTCTTTATGAACAATCTCGAGATCAGATGATTAATTGAAAGAATTTCGTTTTCTTCTGATTTTTTCATTTATAACGTTTTGCTAACGAGTCCGTCAAGCCGCAAACTGCTCGAATTTTAATAAACTCGGTAACGACCGAGTCAACCGTTTAAACGACGATCTAGGGCGTGACAGTGTTGATTTTTTTTTCATTCGTCCGTTAACGTAGAAAGTCGCTTTTCACGTGAGTACCCACGCGAACGGCAAATCGACTCTGGAACTCGATCGGTGGTGGTTTGTCCATGAAAGTATCGCAAAACACCAAGGATCGTTTTTTGCGCGTACTTTGCGCGCGCGTTGCACCGACTCGCGATCTCTACGACAAACGCGATCTTTATCGGCCGCTTAATCGATCCATCCTATCGATCTTTGCAACGAGCCGAGAAAGCTCTCACGCCGTGACCGATCCCGACTCGATTCCTCGCGGCTGGCGGATTAAATCGGGACGCGAATGTTTTGCCCCAGTTTCACTTGACAGGCCGATCTGCACGGTGAGTTTGTTCCGCTCAGGCAAACTAGGCGATTGGCGGCTTCGATAGTCTGCCGATCGATCGATCGATTCGCTCTCCGGATCGCCAAAATCGAACAGCTTGACCCTCGCGATCGGCCGCACCTTGTCACCGATCGTTCCGCCATAGCAGTCGCTTTAATTACAAAAATAAGTCAATGAGGAGAAAAAAAAATCGTACGGCGAAAAAATTCTTCGCGCCATCAGTCCCGCCGCTCGCAAGAACGAGCCTTTCGTCGCGCTCAAACGAGTAAACTCGAGCTTTTACGCCTCTCTCGAGAATACCTCCAACGCTCTCATTTCGACATCGCTCGTACGCACGGCGAGAATGAGTCGTTCTTTAAGCAACGTCCACGAAGCAAATTGGATAGGCGGAGCGCAGTAGTCGGGAAAGTACGTGGAACTAACCGATTTCGAGCTGATCCTCCAAGATACTCTAAGATCTCCCGTGACACCCATAACGTCGTACGTTAATTGATAGTCAACAATGTACTAACGTGAAGAAAAGCCATTTTATATTTTTAGTTGCTTCTACAATCTTGACCAAAAATATATCTCCAAAAGTTGTTTTGTATCTAACGAAATTTAAAAACAGTTTTATTGAAAAATGATATTTATTTTTATAACAATTTTGATATTTTGTTATTTTCCTTTGAATTTTATTATCGCTTTTTCCAAGAACATGAAATAAATTGAAGGTACTTTATATTTATAGCCAAGACTGTATTCTATTACTCGGCTTGAATGAAAAAGTAAAAAAAAAATGTTATGAAACATTTATTAATAGCACAAAAATAATCATTTAATTCTTCGCGACATTTCAGGAAGATACATTTCGAGATGATTTGATATAAAATATTTCAATTTTCAATCAAAATTTGATTCGCTTTCCAATCCCAAATCGCTAACCGTTCTTGCGTGCATATTGAAGCGCAATGTAGTATCGTGCAGGCGATTAAAAATTGAAACGTCAGGTGGACGGCCTCCGGTCGATGGGTTCGCGCGAGGTACGTGCCGCTCCGACGGGTATCCCGAATTTTTTCAAGAGGGAAAGCTTCCTCCCAGGCGAAGAGGGGAATGCGCCCCGTCATTCCACGGATCTCCCCAGCCCGGGAACCTCGAAATGGAACCCGAAGTCCTCCATCGAGGGTGACAGCTATGAAATCGTTCGTGATTGCTCCTCTCACTTCGCAGCCCCCAACCTTCGAAGCTCTACCAAGCAGTTATCCGAAGGCACTGTCGATCGGTTCTTCCGCAGGACTTCTTTTCTGTTGAAAAACACGACGAAAATTATCTCTGCTCAAAATAACCTTGATATAAGTCCCTGAAATAAAATCGTTGAGTGAAATGATAATGGAAGTAGTTTAACATAAGAAAGAAAAAAGGGAAAAAAGGTTAAAATATATATATTAAGCGTCAACTTTTGTTAATTGCTTTGTAAAGTTGTAAGAAAATGTTACATTGAAGTTAAAAATTTATGATTCGTTGTGTACGTTTGATGATTCGAATATTTATAAAGCTTTTAATAAATATTATGAGCGTCTATCGCATGCTGCGAGTTTTCGCAGCGCGAATCGCTCTAGGACCTGCCCAAATGGCACGACTTATTACGCCGATAATCGATTCGGCGGATCTGCATCGCAGCTCGTTCCGTGCCGGCGATTTTTCTCAGGTGCGCAATAGTGCTGATTCATGGAAACAGGAGAGAATATAAGGGTAAGGAGGCAGCCGTGGAAGGTACGCGCGGTCCTTCGGGCGAGATTAACACGTCAAAGACGACGCGCCCTCTCTGTCTCAGCAGTTGCCTTGTAATTCCCGGTGGATACAGGACTAATGGGTTATTTCAGGTAATTAGCCGTGCGACGTCGCCATTCCTTCCACGCGAAAGGCCCTTGCTCTCTTACTTTGCCCTTTTCTGATCCTTATTCGCCCGATTTTCTCGCACACATACGGGACGTGTCGCCGTTTTTTATCCCAATATCGTAGGGTACTGGGTAGGATGGACGTATTCTCAATCAGCCAGTTGATATGCTCTCGACGATTTACTTTCACACTGTACGGCTAGCCGTTAATTCACGAGAACGTTGTTGCCGGCGTAGGCGGGGCTAGTCGAGAGGGTAAATTGCAACAGTCATCGCAAAGCTCTGCGCCTTTCACGATTGCAACACGCTGTTACGGAGTTTCGTAGTCAACATTGGCGAAACGGCGGGTGGATAATGGCAAATTCTGCAACAGGCGCAACAGAATTCGTGACTACTAACCCTTCTTGAATCCAGTTGCAACGAGCGTTACTCCGTGTTTTGGCGAGGATTAAGATTGAGAAATGTTATAGCATGATTTGGAGAAAGTTTATTTCCGCGTAAATAAATAAAATTGCAGGAATTAATGAATCGCCACAATTTCTACATGTGTGTGATAGGTCTGTTTTTTATTCCTGTACTAGACTGCACTAGAAAACAGACCTATTTATTGCATTATTGTATGGAAAGATTTTGCTGAAGTATCTAAAAATTTATACATATATGAAAATCATTTTGAAGAATTATCGAAATAATTATGTAAGAAATTAAAATATGATGAAGAATGCCGTAAAAAAGTTTGACAATCTAGCTAATTTGAGCGGCCTAATACAATATAATTAAACATAATTATTTTGAAAGTCCAATGAATTTATTTTCAGATCTGTATTTAGCTGAATTTTTAGATACTTCAACCGTTTTTTCCGTGTTATTAACGATAATTTAAGTTTGATCGATTCTTGTAGAATTCAACTTCAATTACAGTCAATTAGATTTTTAATCGGAACGATTAATTTTTGTCGCGCGTGAAAGGCACGAGTATTGTGATATGGATTCTCGATCGATAAATAATATCGCGATCGAGCAATTAAATATGATCGCGCGACTGCGAATTCGGTAATTACAGCACTAATGATGGGTAGCTCGCGACAGCTTCCTTCAAACGGTGGAAGAAGGTCCGCTCGCTCGCGCGCGCGCAAAAGAGTATCGAAGACGCAAGGCGAGGTAGATCGTCCAAGAAATCGTCTTTGCCGAGTCACGCTGTGTAACGAACTTCAGCTGGGTGCTAGTTCGAGACGAGGCGAAGCCTCCTTTCTCGAATCCGAATCGCGGTTAGCCGTTTCGCTGCAACGCAGAAGAAAGAAGGTTATAGAGGGAAAGATCAAGGGTCAGTTTCGTTAGAAATGACATCGGTCATGGGTTTTAAAAAAAATTAAAAAAGACACATGGTCCATATATAATTAACAGGAAATCTGTTTTCCTACGTTCGCCAGCATGTTGAGATTCGACATATTTTATCTTGTCGTTCTCTTCTAGTGGTAGATAAATGCTAATCTCGAAAATAACCGAGAAAATTACCTGAAATAAAGTTTGAAAGAATTTGTTTCCACCACGTCGTTTTTTCCATCATCTCGAAAGAGGAATGATGAAGACGATGCTTCTCTCTTTCGGTTCGCCATTCCTTCTTTCACGCACGGGGACTCATTCCCTTCTGCCTTCGTGGACGTTTCGCTAAAATCGGATCTCCCGATTGGATCTTGCTAAGATTCCTCAATGACAGCCGATTAAGGACGATTCGCTGTGAGAATGGGAACGAGCGTCGGCGAAACGTGGCGGGAACGGCTGGGGTCTGCTTCGTTAATTCCTGATTTTCCTCGGTCCGCATCACTTTTTAATTGACGCCAGAAATTGAACCAGAGAACGGCCAGAGCGCTCTGGCTGGCCGCGCGTCCGTTCTCGCAGAGTCATCCTCTGCTACCTCCCCGTCACCTCCTTCGCCTCCCCCTGAATCATCCACGCTGATTCTCTTCGTCCAGGATCGGATTAAGCTGTACGTAATGTGGAAGATTATACTGTCATAAGATTGCTCGCGACGTACCTCGTTATTATTCGGGATATTTGCTTATTACATTAGGCGAGAGTTTGGAACCGTTTTGCCAACGTTGCTGGAACGAAATGATGATGTCATCAATTTTCTTCGCGAGGAGAATTGAACTGTGAGGCATTGGTATCTTTGTAAACTTATTTTCGTAACCTCACATACTTCGTCTTCTTTGAAATCCAATAATTTTATTTAGACTAATTTCTCTTTTTTTTTAATAAAAAATATAATTAAGTAGTAAATGTGAATTCAGCGGAGAATGAAGCAGATAATTTTCGCCGATTGACTCGCTTTCATCTTACTTACTTTCTTCAAGAAAGCCATTACTCTCGTACAATTTGTACTCTTCCTAAAACATGAAATTTCCTATTCTTGTTATGCATACATGAAATAAATTTTCATGTGTCACGTAAAGTTTACTTTCAGCGATTTGTGATTTTCAACGATTTGTGTTTCATTCAAGAATCATAAAAAGTTCACGAAAAAATTAAAAAATATGACACACTGCTGTTTCCAACGTAATCATTTTTTCCGTAAAAACAGGAAAGCGGTTTTCATTCTTCACGAAGAAAGAAAGAAACTACAAACGTTCCCAGCAATACCAAACGAGGTAGATTTTTGGATTTTCACACTAGGTTTTTGCTTTTCGAAAGACCCAAGTCAGCGCTTGCGTACCGACGGTATACAGTTTCTATCGACTCGCCAGGTGTTCCAGTCACGTGTCAGTTTCCGCTTGTCGGTTTCCAGCTCGCCGAGATGCTGCCAATGACACTGATCTTCGTCCCACCCCCGCCCGTCACGCGCCAGTTCGCCTACCTTTTCCCATCCTTCGCGTTTTCCGCTTCTGTCCTCCGCCCGCGAGAGCTGCAACTCGCGCGAGCGGGTGTGCAGGAACGATCCGAACCAGGTCTCCACCTGTCGTCTCGCGTCTCTCCTCGGTGAAACCAATGTCACCTCTCCGCCGGACCGACACACGCGATGTCGCCGTCGCGTCGCGTCGCATCTCGTCTCGTTTCGTCTCGTCTCGTCTCCACCTCCGCCTCCTCCAGCAGTCGTGGCTGTCATCGGCAGGAGCTCTCGACTCGCGTAAAAATAATTACACTGAAAGAGAGGATTGGGTACGAATTGCGAATCTTCCATACCTTCGCTCATGGCTTTCCATCCTTTCGACGACCATTGTGAGGTTGAACGAACGAACGGACGGACGGCTTAATAAGCTCGGCACGTCGGAACGAGTGCCGATAAAAATTTATCCGCCTCGAGTACCTCTCTCGAATCGTCTCTCGCAATCGTGTCCATTTTGAAACGTCTATGATTCCTATTTTAAAGAATGCAGACTTGGAACTTGAATATATTGAAACGTTTTCCGCCATAAACAAAAATTAGTATCACGCTTATTTTATGGGGACAATTGGCATTAGAACGAAAAAAATAATAAAAAAGTTATTGAATTTATTACGTAATTTGTAATATAATTAAATACATTAAGGATAAGAATATTGTGTTAATAGAATTTTATACGAATTACTATTCCGTATAATACTAACCCTAGTACACACAATGTGTTGTTCGTGTTTGCGTTAATTTTCATTACTTTTACAAATAAACAAAAATTATTAAATGATTCTTACATATATTTTAACATCCTTAGAAAGAATTTGTAAAGTTGTGTATTAAAAAGAAAGAAAAGTAAAGAGATCATTATTTAGCCAGATGCTCCTAGTACTTCTAAAAAAATGCGCAAGAATCCATCGTACTAAGGATTAATTATATTTGGATCAAAATATTAAGTCGATTCTGAGATTTATTATAAGTTTTCCGTAGCTTGTGATCAATTGTGCGCACTTTTTACAAAAGCGAAAGGCACTTACAAAGAAGAACAGATCGGATATCGAGATAATTATTCATTATTATTAACAGTGTGATGTACACGTGGCGCATGCACATGAACGCGAAATGCGGATAGAGAAGATGAAAGCTCGTGGGACACGCGGGGGTTAATAAAAAAGCTCGCGAACGCTTCGCCTCGACGCCCCCGTGACAAACGATCATCGATTTGCGAAAACAGTGGCTCGTTGTTGTTGTGTTTTTTTTTTTACATATATATAAATTCTCAAAAGACCGCAATTGCAATCAGTAAGTTTATATTACCACTTCGTCGACGATGCCACCCTCTTCATCAACGCGGCAACTCGTCGACGGCCATTTATACATTCGGTTTTTGTTCGTCATTTACAAAAGCGGCTCGTTATCCTTTTTTCCCCAACTTTAAACAACTCTCATCGGCGTAACAAGTGTGCCATTGAATTTTATCGGCGTGATAAATACATCAGTGTCTTGTGACTGCGACAACTGATGTTATTTTACGACAATTGTTGAAATTGAAAGGTGTCATACTACGATCACAAGGAGTGCTTTTGAATTTAAATTATTTTTTTTCTATCCGCGAGATCGCTTTGATTGTTTAATTAACATTCACGTGTTGATATATGGTCTGAAATGCCTTCAAGTCTATTCTTAAGCTGCGTCAAAATGTATGTCTAATAATACTGTTTGCTGTAATGACGACAAATGTACATATATGGGATTAAAAATATAATAATTATAAAATAGTTTATTCAATTATGTAAATTAATTTATCTAACTATGTACATTAATTCTACGTATAAAGCTTGTTACCTTAATAGCTAGTACCATTATGTTTTTCTCTGAATGTAATTTAATGTTAACTCTACTTATCTTTTTAATCATTTGAAAGTAACTATAATATTTTACTTCCTAGACTAAATTACACTTACTTGAATTGTATATTAAATTGTATATTAAATTTGAATTTTCAGAGCCTAATTTATATTTGTCGTTATTATAAAATAATAATTTTAGGAGACTGTAAACAGATTTGATAAAAACGATCTGTTTATTTTTCTAGAGCCGAGCCACTGTGCGCACTGTGCATCGAGACGCTGCCGCGCGGAGCTACCCCAGCCCAGAACCAGTTATGAACATATGATTAAGCTCGTTTTAATAAGTTTTTATGTAGACCTTACGCGTAAGGATGTATAATAAAAATAAGTGTTGAATAAACCAGATACGTTGAGACAAATGACCATCGATGATTCTATTACAATAAGTACGTAGCTGCTGCAAATTGAACTATGTTTCACGATTGTTGTATGACGATATCGTAACTCAAAAATCGTGATAAATGAAGATTGAGGCTTAATAGACTCCTTTCTATAACTCTTAAGTGTCAGTATCGTTATACTTATACATTGCGTTTTTTTATCATGTATAAAACGACAATGTAACGACATCGGCTGCTATGTCGTTAAGAATTACAGAATAGAGGCTCAGGTAGAAATATAGTGAAACGTTATGATCGAAGCTATGAACAAGAAGTGTGAAGGATTATGCTCCGAGATAAGTTAACTATGTTCGCCTCTTAACTTCTCTAATTACAGTCGGGCGGATAGTGTTACGATCTCACCGAGATTTGAGATTATCGAATGAAAGAGAATTAGGGGAAGACGTCATCAGATGCTAAAATAAATTCGCGAATCGGTATACCTCTTCGAAGAGATTACAGCTTCTCGATAGAGATCCGCCATGTTCCGGATAAAGAATGGCCGACCGCGTTTAATTTTCTGATGCGAGCGACGAGGGTCGACGAAGGAAGGGCGGATCTTGGCTCGTCTTCTCTGCCAACGTCGTCACCGTAAAGATCAGAGTATGGCTGCTCCGGAAACTCGCGTGTAATTTTAAGATCTGAACGAATATTCTGCGATGAAGTGGCATGATAAAGGACATCAGCAGATTTTAAATGAAGATTTATAATTTTCTATTAATATTTTTTGTTTCTTTTTACATTAATTTTTAACACATTCATAAAGACAGATAATTTTATATATTTATATATCTATATATTGTCTTATAATTCTCATATTGTTATTCTTATTGAAATATCAATGAAAATGTAATACCACATCGATGACTCTCTGTTACATTATCAGATGTTACAGAAATAGTTATTTACAATATTTTATACCTTTTTAAGACAGACTTAAGAATGTAAGAATTTTTTAGTTTTCAGAGTATTTTTTTATAGAGATATTATACTATTAGATATCAAAGAAACAATGATAATCCAATCCTTTAAGTTAAATAACATTTTGTTATTTCTAATTTCCATGTCACAATGTAAATCAATCTCCATTTTTGTAGTTAATTTCAGAGTATAAAAACAACGTCCACACATATTAACGTACGTCAAATTAAGTCAAATTTAATACATTTTTGTTAGTTAAATTGTTTAACTTTAATGTTTTAGTTAACGACATATTAACGATATATAAAAATGATAAAAAAATAATAAATTGAATATAATTTGATATTATGAATTTAACAGTGTAGGATGCGTTTACATGAAACTGGCGTTATACATTTCATTTTATGATAAAGTCGGCGTACATCTTCCGTGTTCTCGGTTTATCGTTCGATAGAACCGAGTGGGCCACTCGCGATCTTCCCGACAAAGGCGAACACTCGGTAAATATAAGAAGAGAAGATATTGGCCCGTCTTTTCCATCCAGTAGTCGTCACCGTGGAGACGACTGGTGAGTCGTGGGTGTTCTCCTGAATTCTCGATCTCGGAGAATCTGTCTCCTACATGGACGGGCGAACCCTCTCCGGAATCTAACCCACCCTTGCCGTTGCGGAGGATCGCAAGGACGAGGGTTGCCGGCGAGGTCTTGCCTGATTGGCGGCTGTGGACTATCGACCAACTCGAGACCAGCCCTTTGTTTTAGCCACCACCCTTGGCAGTATCGAGGGTATCCAACTTAAAGTCGGGTCATTGAACGTCCATGAAATTTCGGTTGACTTGTTCTATAAACGATGAAAAAAATGAGAAAATTATATCGTGAGAAAATATTGCGTGAATTTTGTATGTTTTTCATTAAATAAATAAGATTAAATTATTATTTGGTTTTTATAAATTACTATTCACAGATATGAACAAATGATATCACGATATATTGAGAGATAATATTAATGAATAATAAAATAATAAAAGAATAATTTAAAGAATGTCATAAAATAACAAGCAAGAGAGCTTCTTTATTTCGGAAAAATTATGGTATGAAGATCTACGGCCAAAGAGATTGGCGATCACATACGCAAAGTCGCACGACGTTAGGTACAGCAAAGCGCATCGTACTTGCATTCTCGCTTGTGGATCGATGATGCAGCACGTGCTGCGGCCTTGTAATACACTGCGTTCACCTGCATACCATACGTCCCTACTGCACCTCGGCTGCTTAGCATAATTAGTGACTGATGATTAACAGGCGTGCATCAGCACCGGGTAATGGCTTAATTAATTCGCGTGTGCTAATACTGTCTCGTCGCGGAGATCGGCTAGCACCTCGCAATTTCTGCTGCTCCAATTTGAAATTGCGCACTTGTCATCCATATAACTACTATCTTTTCCGAGGATACTAATTGTCGCGTACTTTGCGTACTCTTAAATCTCTGATGAGACAAAACGTCAAGAGAGAAGAATGATAAATTCATCAGTTTATTATTTGATACAATAATGTAAATTTGATTAATATATTGAATAGACTCTTATTGTTTTACTTAATCTTTGGATATTAATTTTTTTTTACTTTTTTACAAATAACAATCAATTAAATCTAGAAGTGATACAGTATTACTATTAATACTTTCTAAAATTGGAGTGAAATCTCATCTTAAAGAGTGAAAATTAAGCCAGTCTTGAAAAAAAGTGGCTTAATTTTCAATCTTAAAAGTAAAGGACAGAATTTTTATTTGTCTTTATCCTTTTATTTCTAATAACCACTGAAAGCGCAGTTCAATAAGTACTTCATTTGTACGTAAAATTTACAAATAACGTTTTAGGGTTAAACAGTTTAGCGTTCAGGATTCATTTTTCCGCGATGTATCCGGAATCGGATTACGATCGATTTTCAACATTCGCATTTTCATAATGACATTCGGAGCGATGATATATTTAGAGCATGTCACATGATGTGATCAGCATGGCGGCTTAATTAACATCGGCATTATTTTAATTGGCTGCGGTTGTATATCGAATATGTATGTTTCAAATTGTCCTTAATATAGCATACGTACAAGAACCCACACAATCGTATACGTGCACGCACGAGAAGTGTTATTGTTAGATCGGTAAAAAAGAAGAGGGAGAGAACGTAAGAGGAACACGGGGCGAGGCCGAACGTGGCCGCTCGGCTTAGCCGTCAATCAGCCCTATCTCCCTTGCCAAATTACTGTCAAACGCAATTAGAATTGACGTGGAAGGCTGGGGCTAAATCAAAATCGTGAGGTAAACCCCCTCGATAACGATTTCAATCCCGGAGGCTATGCTCAGTCGCAATTTTCTCCCGCCGCTAATTAATACACCTCGTATCGTACGTCAATTCGACAGTTCTACCTCCTCTCTCTCTCTCTCTCTCTCTCTCTCTCTCTCTCTCTCTCGCCTCTCACCTCTCGCCTCTCGCTTCTCTCTCTGTTTCTCCTTTGTCAGGCCTTCACCCTTCCCTTCTACCTCTGATTCATTTTGATATACGGCGACCATCGACGAAAAAGAGGAAGCTATATTTGGAGGTATTTTGATGATAGCGAAATGCGTGAATCGATATTCAGTGGATATATTAATGGAGACGGATGCAAATTCGTCACGAATCGGTAATTGAAAAAGAGTCGTGCAAATTAGTCACGGTTGAGCGAAAGTATACGAGTTGTACGTACAATGCTGTTTGCTGCAGAACGCTCGGAGTTAATAATTTTAACGAATTCTCTGCACGATCATAACAAAATCAACGTACAAAGTGTGCTTAGTTATTCCAATCTTTACGAAACTAATTTTAAAAAATTACTAATATTTTGTAAATGAATTAGTATACATTTAAATTTGCATCGATAGAAGCAATACTTGTGAGTTTTTGCAATAGCGTTTTACTTCCTGTGTTTTCCTTTATTTGTTCCGTTTTTCACTCTCGAGAACTCGTTGGAGAAGAAATTGAAGTCTTGCGAAGGTAAATCTTTCGTCGGGTCCAGGCTAGAATTTCTTTTTTCTCGCTCGCCCCCTTTTTCCTCCGAAGGAGACGAGATCCTCTTTAGAGGTAGAATGATATATATTAAAGAGATGCTTTTTGGCAATAAACAATCGAGCAACGAGGGTCGGAGGCAGTTAGGTGGGGCATTAGGGTGAATTATTCTGGCCACCCAGCGTAAAAAGACCGATGAATCACGGGAGTAACGGGGTTCTTGCTCTCCCGATGATGTTGTATCTTGTCCTACGGCCTCTTAAACTCGACCTTACGACAGTTTCGTCCCTCATCTAAAATCTAACACGCTCGTTCCTGCCTCTTATCCTCTTGGTACACAATATAATAATGTGAAATGTTTTCTAACTTCATTCTTTTCATATATATATATATTTGACAAGTTATTTTTAGATATACCTATGTAAACAAAATAAGAGATCAAATTATTAAAGATCAAATCCATTATGTCAAATTTGTAAAAAATAACTTCATGCAAAAATAATTATGATAGTAGTGTAAAACTATAGCCATTATTCACACGCGTAGTTTATATACTTATTTCGATTATTTTTGACATAATATAATAAAGAAAAATTTTAAATATGATGTATTGTAAAAACAATTTTATACACATAAGCAATACGTAGTTTACATATTTATTTCTTTTATTTGACATCTTTTATAATATACATGAAAAGAACGATTTTCCTGAAGTATTTGAAAATTTAATTGGATACAGATCTGAAAATAATTTTGTCAGACCATCATAATTATTAAAAAATATTATGTAGAACGTTTAAACATTAACGAATACTGTCATTTAAACGTTCTACATAATTATTTTAATGGTACAACAAAATAATTTTCTGATCTGTGTGTGTATCTACACGGAGAGAATTTTCTTTTAAAATTTACCCTGAAAATATGATAGTTGTGGTACAATACAATATTTAAAAAATTTTTACCATGCATTTCAATAAAATTAATCAAACTTATTTTATACTTT